TGGCATCTCCACGCCGGCCTTTGAGCGGAGGTCCACCATAAGGTCGCTCTGACTGGCTAAGGACCTGACATCGGCTCATGCAGTCGACCGTGTCTTGCTGCGATAGGGGAATGAGAATTGGAATGACCCCTTCAAATGGCTGTAGGTCAAAATGAAACCAGGGGACCGCGTTTTTTAGTCCATGTTTCCTCTTACAAGGGTGCCATTTTGGGTACCTATTTTTGACCCACAGCCAAATCATCCCTCGTGGTTTCCTTGAGAGAATCCCCAGACTCATTCCACTGAGCACCAGCAAGATTGTCAGTGGCAAACTCGTTTGCCCACAAACTCACCACAGGCAAAAGCCTGCGCAAAAGCGCGCACTCGGACCGAAGCGCCTACAAAAGAAACATATGTGCGACCAGACGGGATATGCCCCCATGTTCAAAACGTATTGAACGTTGCATTTGTGGTGTTGCATCTGTAAGAGCGTGTGTGGCATGGCCGAAGGAAAGAGCGGAGACCACTTGCCATCTCCCTCAGAAAATGCAGTAGGACGTCCACCCGAGGACGAATTGTGCAACGCCTCTTCTTTTATTCTCCAGCATGTCTACTTCAGCCAGTACCATTCATAACAAGTAAGGAACCGACAAAGTGCAAGAGGCAGTCACTACCCAAGGTCTGTTTGGAGTCTGGAGATCCAGAGATCTAGATCTAGATACCTAGAGATCTAGATGCAAGGCCCCCAAAACAGCAAGCTCTGGCTGGGGCCGTGTTGCATGGTGAGTTTTTTGAAGTTGTAAACCAGGAGAAAAGAGAACACCTTTCGGAAAAGGCGTCCAGAGTCTCTTTAGGCTGTAGCAACCTCTGAGTTTGTTGGCTCATGTCCGGCAAGAAAGATTGAGACAACTTGCAGCCAAGCGGCCCTTCTATCCTCTGTAAGGCACCTTGAAGCCTCAGGCATTAGGAGTTGGCAGCACTCGCTTAGTCATTCTGGGCTCTTGACATATGAATGGTTCACCCATATTCCTGGTTCCAGTCAACTAGGCAACTAGTATCATTTCAATACCAAGTGAAGTTATGTAAGTCGCTGAACCCTGTGCTGATGTGGTCCCAATGTTCGAGAACACTTCTCCGCCTCGCAATCCCCCACATGTTCGTGCGTGAGCTTTGTTTTGGTTTTTCATGTTTCATAATATGACGTTATTCGACCTTCGATCCTTCCGCGAATCTTCCGCAGCGTGAAGCGTTGCTTCAGCCAGTAGGTTTCTGTTGTACATGTTAATTGTTTTTGCTTCCGTGGGCACAGTTCCGATTCTTTTAGGCCTTGTGTCACTTAACACATAAACCTTTCGCGAAGCTTCTGCGAGGAGTACCCCTCCCCGAACCTTCCGCGACTGCAGTCCTATGCACGTGTTGCAAGAAAATGTCCACCCACTTTCCAGGCAAAATGACCGGGCAAATGAACGAAGCAACCTCCTGTGAACTGACTAGAACCAAAACTGTCAATGCCAGCTTGCTTCGGGTAGACTGCTTTGACTTGCCTGCGATCAAGGAGGCACGGCACAACGTCCGCCCGAAGAATTGACCATGCTTTTGGAGCAACTCCTTCTTTGCAGGGATCCTTACATTGCAGTATACACCTGAACATTGCCTTGTAATTTCCCGTTGTGTTGGTGGACAAAGCCATGTTACAAATGGCAAAATGTATCTTTTAAGGAGCCCTGTGCAACCTTGTGGAGTTCGCTGGTGCTTGAACACTTCTCATTGCCGCGGTGCCTGAAAGCGCAAAGCTTAGAAGCACAAAAAAGTCCCAAACCGCGGGATTTCCTTTGCCAGGAGGGCTTGAACCATGTTGTAACCTCTTTGCCGCTGGAAACGCATGAAGCAAAGGCTGAGGATCGTGGGGAACATGGGACAGGAGCCTACACATGCAGAGGCATGAGGGAACGCAAGCTGCGGGCAAGTAGCCACGCGTACCAAATTGATCTGAATCCGTTTTGCAACGGACATGCACATCACTGGAAAGTGAGCCAGGAATGGTCAGATGGTGGTTCCCTTACTTCTAAAACAGTCTCGACATGATTATTTTCCATATCTCTTGGTTGCTGCAACGACCCCCCTGCAAAAAAAGACATTTGGAGGTTTAGTCAAAAACACCTTTACTTCAACCAAAAAGATTAAAGTCCAAAGATCCAACCCAATAGCAGTCAAGATCTATCCTGTGCTCTGAGCTCCTTCGACTTGCCTAGTGGCTCGGACAGCCAGGACCGGATCTCTGAGCTGCTCAAGTCCCCGCTCAAGTCATGCCTCTCGGTGTCCTGTGGCTCAAAAATGCGGTAACCCGAAAATGGGTTGCCCGATCGGTAAATGGAACCAAAGACTAAAACATGTGGTTTTGTCTGGTGGCTTTATTTTGACCCATACCCACATCAGCTGCCAATGCACAGGCATCAACTCGGTGACCCGCTGAAAAGCGATTCGAATCGGAATGTACGGATCCATCGCCATGGACGAGATCGAATGGCCATCGAATGCATATCATCGCGGGGGCTGAGAGATCACTTGGCATTGTTTCTGCTCCAATAAAACAACAATGCCAAAACTGAGAACAACCTCGCAACGTGTTGAAGCATGTCGAATGACCTCAGTCTCATTTGGTTAGTCATGATCTCAAAGATTCATACGATTTGTTTCATTGAATCGCACCTCCCCGACAAATACTTCTTCAAAGGCAAGCAACGCACACACTCTCATGCAGTGTGCTTTCAGCAAGACAGCTGGCGGCGCAACACTTCCATCAAACTCCTACAAACGCGGATCGCGAGTCCAAACGAATACGCGCATCTCTATCATTTATGAAAACACTCATATTCATAGGTCATAGGTATGTTCAAGTCTGTAGGCGTTGATGTGCATAGTGAGATGCTTGTAATGTAAGTGGACCACATGTGACAGCTCAAACAAAAAGAAGCGCCGAGTGGATATATACATATCTATGTATCAAACAAAAAATACGACGCCGTGCGACAACTTCAACACACGCAAAACAGAGCGGTGAGTCACACCTGCCTGCTCAATGGAATTCAAGGACTCCGGATGAGGAGATGCATTTACAGCAGGCACGCCCTCCTGGAGACGCGGACCATGGAGAAGCCGGCAACATTGCATGGCCACATATCTCAAGACTAGGTCGGGGGCAGGGCCCGAGGCTGCATTGAGATATGAAACAAATCAGTCACACATCGACTGTGTGCTCAAATCGCTCGTGTTGCTGGAGACCGGGATCCTCGGACGCCAAATTTTTTGGGGTGCATACGTTTTGTGCCACCGGCCGGTGGCAACAGGCCCTACAAATGCGTCGGTCATCCGGGTTTACACCTCGGCTCAGGTAGCCTATGCTGCTCTCGTCGCATTGTGAACTCCAGTCATATCGAACTCCCGTGGTGTCTTAACACTCCAGCCTAGTGCAGAATCAGGCACATCTGTTTGATTGACAATCAAATGAAGGCCCTTGCACAGAACACAAGAAGCATACCACTTCAAGCTCAAGCAACAAGAAAAGCATTTGTGGATGCTCGCCTTCAATTAGGTAAAGTTGTCAAGAGACCTCGTGCAGCTCAGCAAATGAAGACTAAACCAACCCTGGAAGCTCATGCATCTTTCATGAAGTGCCACAAGGCGCCGAAAGGATCTCTCGCTTTCTCGATCAAACCGGCCGACCGCCCTCTCTCTCTCCGACATCTGCGAATCTGCAGGGCCCATGGGGTATTCCATGGAGTTGTTGGAGACCATCGACCGCATGGCGGGCGAAAGGATCTGATGCTCGCGAAACTGCGATGCCTGAAAGTGCCACGGAGGCCAAAACCCCAGGGAAAAGGCGTTTTTGTGGATTGCGAGGGCTGAGAAAAGCAAGCAAGAGCTGTTGTCTAGTCATGCAGTGGCTTGCGTGCGCTCTGCTGGAGTCTCAATGCTGCGCCACTCTTCATGTTGTTGGTACTTGGCCGTGCGCGTGCTAGGGTGGCTTGCTTGCCAAGGAGGCGAACATATGATCCTTCATGTCTTGGGTCTGTTGATGCCAAGCGTAGCAACGCTTGTGGACAAGACTTTCTGAGTCTGCTGTGGGTGATCTGGGGTATGGTGATGTCTGTGCTTGGGGGGATCTGCATCTCAGGGGCAAGCCCTGGATTTCCCCAAATGTCATTCTCTGTCCGGCCAGATGTTCAGGCCTTGAGTCATACAGCGGCCGGCTCGGGCAAGTCAGACAAGTCGATGAGTTAAGCACCACAAGTGAAAAGGTCCTGTGGATGGACGAAATCCTGCACCACTTTGAAACCATAGGAAACCATTGTTGGTTGGTATTTACAAGGGAATCATCATTCCAGGGCTTCTTGGGTGGTGCAGGACTTCGTCCATCCACAGTATGAACGTTGACTGAAGCTGGAAAGCTTGGGAAATCGGGCAGATAAACAGAGGGGTAGCTGGCGCCATATGTCATTCTGGGGTACTTGCCAATGCACACCTCGCAGTGAAACTGCAAAAAATGTCAGGCTCTTGGATGCGCATCCTACAGAGCCTCACTCAACAAGCACTGATCACTTTATCTTGCCCAGGCTTTAGGGAGGACGATGTTTTCACTCGTTAAATCAGGAATGCACGACAATTTTGGATGGTGACTCGCACCTTCGACACCCATCGGGCTGCACGGCACCACGGGCTTTTTCAAGGGGCCTCCACGAACCCAGCTGACAGCCCAAAGAAAGCGTGTGCGAGTCTTGCAAAGCGGGGTTGGCTCAGGGTGTGTTTGGGGTGGCTGTAGTTTTCTATATAGAGTTGGCTTAGGGTGGCTTGGAGTCGGTCTAGGTTGATTTAGGGTTGGCTAGGTTGGTCTAGGGCTGATTTGGAATTGGTTTTTGGTTGGTTTAGGGTTGGCTTAGGGTCGGTTTACGTGGGGTTCTAGTTGGCTTAGGGTTGGATAGAGTTTTGGGTTGCTTTAGCGGGGTTTGGGGTTGGTCTAGGTTGGTTTAGAGTTGGTTTAGGAATGGGTTGGTTTAGGTTTGCTTAGAGTTGGTTTAGAGATAGCTTCGAGTTGGTTTAGGGCTGGCTTGGAGTTGGTTTAGGGTCGGTGTATGTTTGGTTGGGTGGGGCTGGGGTTAGGCTTTCTATTGGGTTGGTTTAGGCGGTCTAGGGTTGGTTTAGGGTTTGTTTGCGATTGGTCTAGGGTGGGTCTAGGGTGGACTAGAGTTGGTGTAGGGTTGTTTTCGGGCTGGTGTAGGGTTTGTTGGGTGGGGATAGGGTGGGTTTGAGGTTTAGGGTCTGGTCAGGGTGGAGTTACGCGTGATTTAAGGTTGGTTTGCGGTTGGCTCAGGGTGGTTAAGGGTTTGTCTAGGGTGGGTTTAGGGTTGGATCACGGCTTGGTTGGGGTTGGTTTGGAGTTGATTTAGGGTGGTCTAGGGTTGGTTTGGAATTGGTTTAGGGTGGTCTAGATTTCGTTTAGGGTGGGTTTCGGGTGGGCTTAGGATTGGATTAGGGTCGGTTTAGGGAGGGCCGGTTTAGGGTTGATTTAGGAGGGTGGGGTTAGGCTTGCTTTAAGGTTGTCTCAGGGCGGTTTTTATTGGTTTAGGGTGACCTGTTTGATTGCTTGCGGTTGGGTTTAGGTTGGGTTCGCGTCAGCTTGGGGCAGGTATAGGCTTGGCTAAGCGTTGCTTGCGTGCTTGTTTGCAAGCTTTTTGTCCTGGTTACTTGGTTTGGGGTGGGTCTATGTTGGTTTCGGGTCGGTTTGGGATTGGAATAGGGTTGGTTGATTTGTTTGTTGGTTGCTTGCTTGAACCCAGTTGAGGTGGAAAAAGTCACCCTCCCCCCTCCCAATAAAAAGAGACAAAGCAAATGTAAAACTCACCCTGGCCGGCCGTGGCACGAAATTGCTGGAACGCTGCAGATGAAGACGTCAACTTAGCCGATCTACATACTCTAGTATGGTCGCCAACCATGCCAGCAACATTGCAAACCCGCAATGGGCGTAGTCACATAGCCTCCTATGTCGGTCAGCCTACCCTGGAACACCCGAGCCATCATGAGCCACCTACTTCAAGCGGTCCCTGTCCCTTTCTTCTCGTTAAAGTGTCTCTGCTCAAGTTTGGCATTTATGTGTTGCAGTTTGATCTCCAATCCCAAATCCCAATAAGTCAATTAACTCGCGCTGTCTACCCAACCAGCGTTGCATTCATGGATAAATGTGGATTCACTGAACTCGCACCTGCGCGAAAAACATATCAATTCAGGATTACCCATCTCCTCGCCGGGCTCATGCCTCAGCAAAGGGGTGCAGTCTGCTCTCACTCTACCCAGGTTCGCAGCTTGACTTGGGGAAGATTCGACTTCATTTGCTTCACGAATTCTTCAACACTGCCAGTCATAGCCATCTGGCTCCACATGGACAAACACATGTGTCATAATCAAAACCCGGTATTAAAATGGTCGATCCCCAGAACCATTCTTCAAGAATTAAGAATGCGGATATCCGCAACTATTTCTGGCTGGGACTGCCCCTTACTAACCTTCATCTACCCTGGCTTTGATTGTGGCTCACATGTTCTCAATGCAAACCTTGGCTTGTGCAACACTTTGATGTTTGCCTGCGTCCTTCCTCGTTCAAAGAATTCCGGCCTACGGTGATGTAAGCCATCAAAGCCCGGGACAACAAATGGTCTACCCAGAAACATTTAAAGAATTGAAAGGGCGGCCGTACCCATTTGGCTGTGGGTCAAAAACATGGTAACCCCAAAATGGAATTCTGGTAAATGGAAATAAATGGAAACATGTTTCCCAAGATTCCTGCGGTCCGATTGGTTTAATTTTGACCAATACCCATTTCTTGCTAAAAGTTGTCCCTTAGTCTCCACTTTTTCAGGGCTTTGATTGTGACGAGCCATGTTGCTCTAAAAGCCATGTGAGCCCCGGTGAACTTTGTTGTCCCTCTGGACCTTTGTGGACCAACAAGTGACTCTGGAGACCGACTGCTCAGTAAACCTCCATTGGAGTCTCAATTGGAGAAGTCAGATGCGGCCAGGTTCCATTTCACGCGTTCTGCTCTTGCAGTTCTCTGAGCTAGACGACCCAGAAGGCAACGTTTGCAGAGCTTCGAAGGTCACCTTACAAAATACCTGCACGTGTACGCCATCCCAGCAAACTGTCCAGCTTGCGTCCAAGGCATGCCATGTCCCATACATGCACGGCTAAGAACATGTCAAGATCTGCCTCACCTGCCTCGAAAAAAATCGCTCGGCGCAGAAATTCTCCGCTCCTTGATCCAGCTCCCCGGAGCCCCATCGCTGAGGCTCCAGGCAGATACTCCATGCCAACTCCCGCAGCTGCAGTCGAAAATGTCGGGTGTTGGTTGGAGGTGTCTGAGCCAAACAGACTTGAAGCTTGATCTGAGACACTATGTGGTTCTCGGGTGTGGTTCTCACGGACCCTGTCGGCGGGTTTCAAAGTTGAAATCCGCAGGAAGCCGCTTGAAGTTGGAGACAACCTCATAGGATCCTTGCGAGGCAGCCAACTATCGGCCGTCACAGCGCTGCCTGTTCCCGCCCATTTTACCATTTGCTGGAGCCGCAAGGCGCCCGCTGCAAGCATCATGCCTCTTCATGAATCCTGCATAGACCTGGCGTTTTCCGTTGAAAGGCTCTGCTGTCTGACCACTTTCACGTTTGCACTGCACTATATTTGCCCTAGGTTGGGGATAGGTCAAGAGCTTTGTGCATGAGGCTGCAGTTACATGCATTAGAGATACAAACAGCACTGCTACTCAACAAACGTTGCGCAGTACTACACCAATGCTAACTGTTGAACAAAACAAAACAACAATCTCAGCCGCGGTCAGTCGTATCAGGTTAGGGGACTCCACAAAACAATGAAATGTTTCATTGTAGTTCAGATGTATGCTGAGCTGCACATGATCAGTGCAAATAGTAATGTCATGTAGAATCACTTGTCCTTGTCGCATTCGGGTTAACAAACCAAACATGCCTTGAGCGAATGGTTTTTGTTCCTGGCAGAGGGGGACCCATTTGGAAGGACCGAAAAGCTTCAGGACACCCCTGGACCATAAAGAGATGCTATCCACCAAATATTCATCACACTTCTGAGTAGGGAGAGGAACTGCTGGGATCTGCGAATGTGGCTTGTGAGAGAGGGGAGCATCCAACACTGGAATGAAGAAACCTGCTGAGAGGGGGGGCGACAGCCATGGATGGCCGAGTCTCCAATCTTCCGGGCAGCAAATCAGAGGTTGCTGGACGGGCTGCCGCTCTGTGGCAGCTGCCCAAAACTGGGTTTTGGGACTTTCTCACATACATTTTCAGCTGCTGCTCGCAACCCTCGAATGAAGCCCCAACTGAATCGAGCAGCTGTCAAACTCCTTCGAAGGAGTCAGCTGATGTTCCATGGATTCCCCGTAGGCGTAGCGAGCTACTGGCAGCTGTCAAAGCTGTTTGTGTGCACATGACTGCGACATATCACGAGACTCACTGCTAAACCAACTCGATATTCCACGAAGGCAGGATATTTAATGATGACAATGTACTTCATCGACAAGGAATCAACCATCAGCTTCTCACTGCTTTCAGGCAAGCAGAATAAGTGCCTGCTACCCAGCATGAGCATAACTGGGATCCAATTTGTGAACCAACGAGAAAAAACACTCAATACTCTGGGTTGTTGCCGGAGCAAGGGATGATGGGAGACCAGGAAGCAAATCGACCTCCCATGTCGGCAAGAAACTCGACGATGCAGAAGCAAAATGAACCACCAGAGTCAGAGCCCTGCACATAGGCACGTGCTCT